TATCTATCAGTAACTATATCTATATATATAAGCGAACCTGTGCTTGGTGTTCGGATCACTTTGATCTGAACACCAAGCACCCCAGGTTCTCGTTCCTCTGTTTGTTCTATTATGTAAGCGGCCATTGAAAGGATTATGTCCGCTGCGGAACGACGAAGCATTGATTTGGTCCTTTTTTATTCTTCCGTCTTCCATCCCCACTGGCGTTGTACAATCTAAACATGCAAAGAATAACTACAGTCACGTACGTCTTAACATACGATGAGTGCAAAATTGTGTATGATACAAACAGACCATTATAGACTTGTATCACGCTTTAAGAAAATTTGGAGGTTATACTTTTGGAGGTTATATACTATGCAAATCCCCATATACATTTTAATAAAATTTCGAAGTTCATATTGCTTTTAACACTTTTCAAACTACAAGTCTCCAAACTTATCGAACTTACTATGACCTGCTCTTTCCATTTCTGGTATTTATAGAGAGCTAACATCAAACTTTATATCCATGCCTCAAAAAGAGTGATAAAGATCTATAGCAGTTTAAAGTGAGCCAATGCATGAAATCTGGAGGACGATTTCAAAGGCCGGATCACTACTTATTACAGGGAATAATGAACTCCACATTCCTTCATGGTAAGCAAATTTTTGATCAATCTATATCTAAGATACTTACATGTAAGCAGTACTACTCGATACAGGGTGTATAAAAAAACTAAACAGATTTGAAATTGCTCTCAATTTCACAAAACAGCTATTAGTATCCAGTTTTTGATATATATAGCTTCTTTGGGTACTTATAATGTAGAATAATGAAAAAATTTTGCGCACGAAATTTAAAAGCTTTAGTCATATTTTGAGTTAATAGATGGAAACATTGTTGAGTGTTTAATTACTGTACAAAATTTCAGACAATTTGCTTTAGTTTAAGCCCTTTAACTATTCACGCAAACTTACATTTTTTCCTAAAAATTCAGCTATTTGCATGCTAATTAATGCCTTTGCCTAATTAATTTGCTAATGTCAGCAATATGCAAATTAGGTAAAGGCATTAATTAAGCATGCGAAAGGCTGATTTTATAGTTAAAGGACTTAAACTAAAGCAAATTGTCTGAAATTTTGTACAGTAATTAAAAACCCAACAAATTTTCCATCTATTAACTCAAAATATGATTAAAGCTTTTAAATTTCGTGCGCAAGCCATTTTTAATTTGTTGGAAAAGACACACACCACTGGTTCACAGAATTTGAGTTCGAGAATTTTTTTTCATTATTCTACATTATACAGGTAAGTACCCAAAGATACTATATACATCAAAAATTGGATACTAATGGCTGTTTTGCGACATTTAGAGCAAATTCATATCTGTTCAGTTTTTTTATACACCCCGTATAGAGAGAATATCTACTTTATGGTGATATTACAGTATAGAAAAGTGCATGCTCCATAAAAATGGCGTGTTGTGGATGAGGATACAACTAATGCAGTGGATGAGGATACAACTAATGTTATGCTGTAAATGCCAATGGAGACAAACATTACAAACGATTGAAATGTACAATCAAGAAAAAGATTGGAGGGTGCCACTAAATTACGCAACAATTAGGCGTCCAATACTCCAACAGGGATTCCAAAAACGATTAAACATTACATGATATATACAGTATACAGTTAGTGCAAGCTTCATTGCTGAATCTAAAACCAACAATATATCTGCCTTTTGCAAGGCGTGAAACGCAAATAAACAGGTTGTTTAATTTCTTGGTTTGTGCATGTGCCATTCACTTTCGCAACCGGGTTGCACTCCTCCAATGGCAATATGCTGTTTTTGCATTGTAATTATACGCCTCAGTTACGTGAGAATAGTACTTGTATTTTGACTCGACCTCGAGTACTGGATAAATAATTAGATGTAATGGTCCTTTTATTGACATAATTGCAAAGATTTCCCATTTTATTAAAGATTATTTATAAACTAAATTTTTTCCGACCTAGCAATGAAACTAGAGCGCGCGAAAACCCCAAATATAAAATCGTCTTTGACAAGTTCCACATGCAGGTTCTACTGTACTAATTTGAAACCTGAAACTATTTGTTTTTCTTGGCCTTAGAAGTAATAGAGCAACCTAGTATAAATAAAGTAGAGTGCTGTAGCTTAGCATAACAGCATAAATGCACGGTATATTTTAGCACTACAGTACCTTCTTGTGGAGTGCATCCATAAAACTCGACTCTCATACACAGGGCAAAGTTCCACGTACGTGGATATATTCTTATCAACCTTACTGTTATTGGACATGGAAGACGTTTCTGATCACGCTTCAGAATCTAAAAATGGTAAAGTGTTTTCCGTGAAATTGTTGGCGCGATATTATACTCGCATTAATTAACAATTATTCGCCGAAGGCGAGGTGATTATCGGTGAATAAAAACCGAGACGAAGTCGAAGTTTTTATTAACGATAAGCACCGAGCCTGAGGTGAATAATTGTTTAGTATAATTTCATAGGTGATTATTTGGAAAAAAAATTTAAAATCATCACCTCAACGGCAACCAATCAGCGTGGAGAATTTTCAATAATCACCTATGTAATTATACTAACAGCAAATAGTCGCTCAAATCTATTTGAGTTAACAAGATGTTAATATTCGGAGTATGATCTTGAACGGTCTGTGCCAGTGTAGGTACATACAATAAGAAAGAATAAGAAAGTTTCGGATTGATAGGGATACAACTACCTGAAAAATACAAGGAGAACTTCGACATTTCGAGCGAACGCCCTTCGTCAACAAATATGAATGTTTATGAGTGAAATTGTAAAAATATTTTCATTAGGTGCAGAAAGATGGAATTTTCCATCTCAGCTCTCGCCTCGTGGAAAGAAAAATTCCATCTTTAATCAAATGAAAATATTTTTACTATTGTGAAAACATTCATTATTTGTTTTATATAATTATGACACCAAAATACTGAAAATAGATCAATTTTAAATACAAAACAAATATATACCTTGTTCAAAATAATTAAAATCAAACAAAAAAGTGCCAACAAATGTTTTAGTGAAGATTTAATATGATAATGCCGGTCATTTATCGTAAAAAATTGTAAAAATATTGTATTTTTACACCCACTATTTTGCTTCGCACAAGTTATGTATTTGAATTTAATTACATCGGTCTCATCTTAATTCCATCTAGTTAAATGAGCTACGATTACGATACAAAGGATGTGTTCGCACTGCTTGTTCAGTACTCCTTGTACAGTATTTTTCAGGTACCTGTAGTTGTATCCTTATTAATCCAAAGCTTTGTGTTTCATCTTATATTTAACACACACACACATCCGCTTTTTCATGTTTCAGAAGTTAAAACTTGCGATGACTTGCGGCTGGTTTGATCAGGTATCGTCTCGTATGGTGACTTCGATGCATACTGTATACTTACCACTTCCTTCCCTGGACATGTATAATTGTGCCATATCACATTATCATAACTGTACTTCAGTGCGAATGTTTTAACATGGATCTGCGGGTCATTCTTACTACCAGTTGTACTAACAGATGTAATTGTGAATGTATCATTGAAATCCACTTGAAACCACTGCGGCGTCTTTTTATATTCATCAGCACACCAACCCCTACACATAAAAAGCAAAACTTTTCATGAGTTGCTGTTAATTATACGTAGTAACTTTTTTAGTTTTGAAATCGACAGCACAATTATATACATTTGACCGCATCGAAAGCACATTAATATTTACAGTAACTTACTCTCCGTTCAGTCTTCCTTTTTTCGCTGAGTAATGAATTCCCTTTTGAGAAGACGCTGAGAGCTGTGCATCGGTAATTTTCGTTGCATCTGTAAGCCCAAGCTCCTTATTACAAACTACAAGTAAACGTGGACAATTTGAAGTATATTACAGTAGAACCTCTCTAAATCTTCCATCTAAAACTAGACCTAGAGCGTTTACTCGGCAGGCACCACTTCATTTGCAATGACATCAAAGTGGGATGCCCTACCTAAGTTCCAGTCTTCTCACGTGAAAAAGCGCTGAAATATAAATAGAAGGCCGTAGGTCTAGGCGCAAGCAACCTAGACTGGAAACTGCAGACTGAAAAAAATCGATAGCTTCAAGATATTTTGAAACTTACGGTATATAGTCAGTTAAATATTGAATACTCGATTAAGGGCTATAGTTTAAACTTTTAGGATTTTGATAGGATTTTGAAATCAGAAGCGGAGACTAGATGTTCTCCAGACTCCGTTTCTGATTTCAAAATCTTATCATCAGGCACTTCTGAGCGAGATCTTCTTATGAAAGCCTATTAATTTCTCAACTTAACCCTGTCCTTTTAATGTTAATATTAGATCTACACCTCTTGAGTTATTTTAGTTATGTAATATTAACCTTAACTATACTAACCATGCACTTAACATTAATCTTTACTAACTGGCAAAAAAGGGGGTGCGTCATGAGTTATTATTCACTGAAAACGGGAGGAGGTCACCTAAAAATATTGGATTAAAAGGGGGGAGTCCAGTTATTTTATTATAGTGGGGGAAAATGTGACATGCAACGATTATTGCTGCTGCAGGGAGCGAGCAGGGCCGTCGAGACTGAGGGGTGTGACACCCCCTGAAAAAAAAACATTTTCGGCAAATGAAAGATTTGTCGAAAAAAGAAAAAATAGGCACTCACTCCGAAAAAGTGTACGAGATAAAAACAGGAAAATAAAGAAGTCATCAAAATCTTGCTGGACATTGTCAGGACAGTGGCCCATCAAAACATGGCATTTCGAGGTGATGGATAGGAAGAGGACGGGAACTTTTGTCAGATCGTAAGGTCAGATTTCAAGGCACTGTCCTTTGCTTCAAAGATGGATAGGAAGCAAGCGATCGCGCTCACATTACATCATGTCACGTACATGTCGCCAGAATCACAGAAAGAAATTATTCAGTTACTAGCAAAAGATGTCCGACGTCAAGTAGTGAAGGAGATAAAGGATGCGAAGATTGTTTGGTGTTTATTCAGATACTACTCCTGATCTGTCTAGAAAAGATCAATTGGCGGTGGTGTGTAGATATGTAAACGAAGATGATGACTTAAAAGAACGACTTTTGTGCATAAAGAGCACTACTTCCAAGAAGGGCGCCGGAACTGCTGATGAAATCATCACAACATTTGAACAGTCATGCGTTGAACACAAACGAGCTTTGTTTCCAGTCATATGATTTCACTGCCTCAATGTCTGGTCAATTCAATGGCGCTCAACAAAAGCTTCACGAGAAATTAAATCAAAACATTCCATACGTTCCTTGTCAAGATCACTGAACAAATACAGTGGTGGAACACAGCTGCGATGCAAGTGTTATCGTGAAAGATATGTTCAATGTCCTCGAAAGTTACGTATTTTTTTCGAGCACTACTAAACGGTAGGATCGGTAACTAATAAGTACTAATTGAAATAATCCTTGTCATTTTTATTTCTGCAATTTATGTTTAGTTCTGTGAATAAAAGTTAATAAAATGGCTCCTATGTAAGTAATTCTACTTTTCATCTATTAATCCTTATTTTAGGCATGAAGAGTTGGAAGAGAACATCAAGGTAGTGGAGAACGCCTTAAAGCTGAGAAATCTGTCAAAGACAAGGTGGACAAATGAAGCAGAATCTACCAACGGTGGTCAGGCATATTTTCAAGCTTGCCCGGTGTGGATATACACTCAGAGGCAACATCACACAAGCATCATATTTTACCTGAGTACATTACACCAACACAGAAAAAATCAGAATCTCCCGCAATATGAAAGTGCAGGTGTCTATGTCTTTAGACATGAGCCATAATGTATATATCAAAATACTGATAAAATCCGTTTCCAGCTTGATTGTATTTGCATTTGTTGTATTTGCATTGTTGCAGACAAAGTTGTGCAATGGTGGGCTTTTGTCACATACTCGTATGTAATTCCATGTGCCTGCATGTACAGTACTTTGATGCCTCAAGAGATGCTTCGAATGTGTAATAAAGGGCTGTTCGCAGGAGTTGGGCTGTCTGGCCTTAAATTGCATTGTTTTTATGATATTTTAAGATTGTATTCATATGGCTGGACCATCTTGCCATTGCCATAATGTCTGATGTTCAAACAGGCTTTAAAATCAGGTTACAATGCATGCTTGAAAATATGCAACAATTTCACTGCTAATAATATTCCAGAAAATCCTGCCTCTTGGGCAGATCTGGACTGATTTGTCAGAGGGGGTTGGAGGTTTTCTACTTGTGATTGGGCAAGGGGAGCTAGCCAAGGGTGCTGGGTCAGAGTCAAACTCATGTGAACAGCTTCTAAGTCCTAATCATATTGATAAATTATGTACACTTTGGGATGGTAATGCAATTTGTAAAATATTCCACATTTTATTTAATAAAATTTAATTATATACATTGTTTTTGTTGTTTATATTAACACCTTGGACAGTGTATATTTACACCTTTGGACCCTGTAAATAAACACCTTTGGAGGGTGTACCCATTCTAAGCCAAAGACATTTAAGAACAATTATCAAGGTATTTGCATGATAAAATATATTTAAAACTGCTCTCCATATACATGTAATGCATGGTTCAATTCTTGCTTTTACCAAGTAAACCCAGGGATTTTCAATGTCCCCCTCCTCCCATAGAATTCACTTGAAGTGACTGGGGCAAGGTAGCTATAAGTAGTTATATTAATTTAATTAAAGTCAATTAAAATTTACAAATTGAGCTTTTTGAATATAGACCATTGCAAAATTTTTTTTAATTTGTTTAACCCTTTATAGTGGCAATGTCCCTACTTTAGTATATTACTCTGTCTGGTGCCAGACAATTTTACTCAAGGGCAGAATGTAGACTTGCCACAAGTCGACCTCGAACGAAACGTCGGCTCACACTCGCTGCTTGCGTTTCGTTCGAGGTCGACTTGTGGCAAGTCTAGGCAGAATGCTGCCACTTAATGAGTTAATATATTCTCAGAACAATTACCATCAAATTTAATCTATTTTGCTGGCAAAATTGCCTTGGAGGGGGTCCTTGATTTGTTGAGTCTTTTTTTTGGGGGGGGGAGGGGTGAGTGTTGTAAAAAACAGAATAGCAACTGGTTTCAGAATAGGAAGAATTGTTGTAATATAGGTAATATAATTCTAAGACAAATCATCCAAAGGAAGCAATCATTCTAGCTCTTATAGTGTATGTTGCAACAGGGATGGATTTACTGGGGGGTGCACCCCCCTAACCCTGGCCAGTGGGGGTGCAGGAGAGTGCTATTTTTCATGATAAAGCAAAAAATTATTACAGGCAAAATGAGATACAGTAATTTGAGTAATAACATGATGATAAGCGAGCTGTGAACAACAATTACAATTCAAATACAGTAGTAAAGCAAGACTTTGCAGTAGTGAAGCAAGTTGATGGGCGGGTGGCACACATGACCGACACAACTCGGCACCAGAGCTGGCAGAGCACCCCCCCCCCCCCTACCAGATCATGCTGGATCCATCCCTGTGTTGCAAAATGTATTTTCTTCATAGTCAGGCATTCACATGAATGAAGATTAGAATTTCATCATGTTATATAGTCTTAAATATTTAGGAGGGGTCTCCATTATTAAATTAAGAGATTAAAAAGGGGTCCCATGACATTTTGACATAAGAATCTCCCACCCCACCCTAGGGTATAATGAATGGTCACTTAAAGTACATGCCATCTTCTAACTGTTTGGGCACCTTGCCCCTTTTGTGATGGAAAATCTATTCCCTACCTTTATCCCCTGGGACTTTTATTCAAATCAACACTCCACCCTGATAATGTGCAGATGGTAACAGCAAGAATTGAAGCAAGCAAGCTTTACAGGAGTACATACTATTATTAGGAAGCGTCAATTCCCACATGCTAATTTGCCAGTCATGATTTTAAACGTAATATTTCTTATCTCATATAGAATTCATAAGTTCTTGTTTACATTTTACTGGAAGCAAACTAAGATGCATATCCAATATTTGGGTCATATCGCTCATATGTCGGTTCTGCAGCTTCCCAGCTTCAACATTTGGCTGCAAGGAAAACGTAAACAAGAAAAGAGCATATAACACTTCATCTGTGTTTAAAATATCAATGAATAAATATTCCAACCATTGGCACTTTATAATATAAGTGACATTCAACAATAGATCAATAACATATACAGTATATGCAAAAACATTTCTTTGAATCATTGTATAAAATATTCCTCATAAACTCGCTCCAATCGTCGCAAGTACAGCAGAGTCTTTGGAAGGGTAAAACCAAGTTTAACATCCCCAGTTCAAAACACTTTCCGTGTCCTCTTAGGCAAGCCTGTCCAGCTGGAGAACATCTGTCGTAATACTATATTTTGGCTCAATTGGCTGCTAATTTTGTTTAGCGAACTGCGAACAAACGATATTTACCAAACCCAGTTGGAAGAACAGCAACTATACATAGTTCCCATATAATAAAAGCCGAAGAATTTGATTTCGAGTACGTCGGTAGCAAAAATAAGGAAAAATTTCAAAGACTAAATGCATTTTTAAGCCGCTCTAAGGAATTAAATTTTGTGGACGTTCTTTATAGGTTGGCGGCAATCTTGGATTTTCTAATCATTAGGGGCCATTCACAAAGGATGTCCGGCCAAATGATGGACTGATTTTCAGACACCCCCATATCCCCCACCGTTGTCCGGCATTGTCCGAATTAGTGACTCCCCCCCCCCCAACCCCTCCCCCCGGACATCCACGATGCCTCGCAAAAACTCACACAACCTTGTATATGTCAAGAGTAAAAAACCTTTTTTACTTTTAGAACTTTTTTATAACTAAAAATTTCTTTTTGAATTTTTTAAAATTTCGGACATCCGGATTGCTAAAAACCCCCCTCCCCCCCTATGTCCGAGTTTGTCCTGATTTTCCAAACCCCCCTCCTTGGCTCGGACATCCTTTGTGAATGTCCCCTTATAATTTATTACACCCACTATATCTGGGTGTTGAAATTCATGTGACCGGCCGGTGCCAGGGCCTTTTCCCGCCTTCCCAATGACAAAAAGGGAAAAGCCGTGGGAACGAGGTTGGTTGAGGAGAATTCTTTTAAGAACAACATATATCAATTTCATGGAAAAAAAACACTTGCAGAAAAGCTCTGAAGTAACCCCCATACGTTTGTTAACAAATTTCATGTGATGAAGCGTTTTACGCATTCTGATTGGCTTAGGGCAAAAATGTAAACAAAAGCGCTCATTGGTCGAGAACGAAATTCCCCCTTGTTCCGTGCGAGGGTACTAATTCCCCCCGGGTATTTACACCCGGGGAAGGGAAGCATTAGCGAAGTCTAAAGTTCATCAATGATCGCGGGCGTGGGTCACCAATTGTGGGTGGTCATCCTCACTGATCTCAAATATATGGCTGTTTGCCAGGAGTGGGATAAACAAGATTTCAATTTTCAAAGGCGTATATTTGGAAAATCACGTTTCACACAATGAGCTTTGAAGCAATTTTTGTTTGAAGAAATGAGAAGAATTGACTTACTGTGGAAAATCGTGGAATATAGGGCAAGTTTGCTTTGAATGTTTAATGTTTATGAATTTTGTTGCTTTAATTTATTGCGTAAAACATGCACTGACTTCCTTTTCAATGAAGCTGCATGTATTAAAGTTTGCTAAATTACCCTGTTTAATTTAAGAATAAACTGAGGTAAAATGTAAAGGGGAGCAAATTCATTTGAAAACCGAACTGAAATT